GGAATAGCCATCAGGAGCCTGATGGAAGAGTCCCATCCTGGAGGCCTGAACTCGGGCAACAGGGGCAAGGATGGAGTAAACTCGATGACTGTGGAGCATTGTGGAGGAAAGAAGAGAGGAGCCCTGAAAGACTCCCCAGGTGCCCTCGCAGGTCTGTGAAGTCTCGTGTGCCTGGCAGCACATCTCGTCCAACATCAGAACAACCGTTGTGTCTGCACGGCTCCCCAGGCACCAGGCATTGAATAAGCATGACGGGGCACTGTCTCTTTGAGTCCTCACTGTGCTCCTTTCCTCTGTGTTATCGATGAAGAAACTGAGGCTGAGAAGTAGTAGTCATTCGGCCAAGGTTGCACAGCACGGACTAGTCGATTAAGGGTACCAGCCCCATCTGTCCGATGCTGACGCCCAGACTCCGAGCATTTATTTCTGAGGGTGTGGATTGTGTTCTTCTCCTGGGACGTGGGCAGGCCTCTACTTAAACAGTTAGGGAAGTATTTTAGGGAACAGTAAAACAAAACTAGCACATCACACCCATGACTTTATTTCACGACCATTCATAATGAGATAAAGGAAAGATGATTGAAAGTTGATTTAAAGAAAAAAACTTGAAGACATCATTGTGTAGATCTGCACGATTCAATCCACTGGCCACGTGTGGCAATGTGAATTTAAATTCATTGAAATTAAGTTAAAATAAAAATGTAGCTCCTCAGTCCACATGTCAAATGCTCAGTAGCCACAAGTGGCGAGCAGCTACCGTATTGAACAGCACAGACCTAGAACACTCTGTCAACCGTATACCGTTCCTTTGGGCAGCGCTGTGCCAAAGCCTCTTACACTAGACCCACGTCTTTTCAGTGTTCGTGCTGGTTCTAAGTCAGCTCTCTCCAGAACTCAGTCTGGCTCTGGAGAAGTCTGGGTACCTCTGTGCCGTCCAGTATGGCAGCCACTAATCACCTGGGTTAGTCTGGATTGAAATGCTCTATAAATATAAAATACACATTGGATTTCAAAGCCTTAGTATAAATAAAGAATGTAAAAATGCATTGTTAATAATTTTATACTGACTATGTTGAAATAGTATTTTGATGTATTGGGTTAAATAAAATGTATTCTTGAAATTTAATGTTGCTCTGAGAACATTTTCCGTTACGTATGTGGCTTACGATATATTTCCACCGGGCCCCTTTGCCCTACAATGTAACTGCAGGGCACTCGAGTTTCCCTGTCTGTTCCTTTCTCTAGATCCGTGCTGCCCGATACAGTAGCCACAAGCCACATGTGGGTATTGACATTTAAATTAATTAATATGAAACAGTTTGAAATTCAGTTCCTCAGTCCCATCCGCCACCTTCCACATGCTCAGGGGCCTCGTGTGGTCAGCTCTACCCTCTGGCCAGCACCAGTACAGGCCTTTTCCATCACTGTGGGAAGTCCCATTGGACAGACATGATAGATTAGGTTGCACACAGTGATGGCCAAACCCACAGAGGTGGGGGGGCAGGGCAGGAATGCCTAAAGCTTGGGAAGCGTTTCCATGGTGCCTAACTCTGCAGGACAGCATCCTCCCATCCATCTTCCAGATGCCTGTCCCTCCCTCCTTTGTTAGACCTGTTTATGCACACCTTATCTCCTCTTCCCTCCTGCCAGGGCTGCAGCCTGCTTATCTCCCTCTGAACACACTCTCCCCCACCCTCCTGTGTGTCCTCGGTATCTCACACCGTGCTTCGTACAATAGGGATTCAGTAATATTTGTTCACCAGCAGGAGTGGCATGTCCCAGCAAGGCATTTGAAATATGTGGCTGAAGCTAGAGGGAGATCCATACCAACTGGCTGCAGGGGGCGTAAAAAAGAGAGAGAGAGAGGTCAGAGACAGATCCCCAAGGGAGAAGGAAGAAGACCTGGTAGAGAGACAGAAAGTAGGAAATCTGAGGGACGGTGGTGACCCGGGATCTCACTCACGTCACCAAAGCCCCTCCTGTGCCCGCCCCACTGGCCCCTCGAGGGCAGCGGAGAGAGTTACAGCGAGGGAATTCCCCGGCTGAGGCACCAGCCGCAGAAAAAGTGCGAAAGAAACCCCAAATATTATTATGTGATAAGTAAACATGGAAGACCCATAAATGAGAGGTTGGAATGGCATGAAAATGAAGGGTCTGGTGGGGAGAAGAATGAAGAACGTCCTCTCCCTGGGCCAGCTGGTTTGAGTTACACTTTATGAGCAGCATGTGAGTTCCGGCACCCTTGTTGAATTAGCAGCAGAATCGCACGTTAGTTTTAAGGCTCCCTCTCGCACGGGAACATCATAACGCTTTTTAATTGGGGCTGATACAAACGTAGCATTACTCGCAGGTTCCTGAGAGAAGTGAGATGTGAAATTGGGTTTTCATTAAACCTAATGATGGAAAATTAAGTATAGTGCGTCTGGTGAAATGGGGTGTGATAAGAGGCATCGCTTCTGCGTTATCGGAGGTTAATAAGGGAATAGGTGAGGTGAGATGTGTCGGGGAAAAAAGAGTCCAACTAGTTGAATTAATAAACCTTGAAAATCCCTTGGTTCTGAGTCTTCGCAGCATCATTAGCACCAGCATTGACATTATTACAAATGTGACGGCAACACAAGTCGCTCGGTTCCAAATGCATTTATTTTCCATTCCAGTGTTGGTTTTGCTGACACTGAGTTTACAGTCTGTCTAGCCATGTGTTTAGGGAAAATATCCATATTGGTAGCTATTTGGTTTTGGAAACACTTGGCGTCTCGCACAAATTGCCAGGTGCCCATTCCTAAGAAGCCTGTCTCTGCCAGGCAGCCGGTCTCCCAGGCAGCCCATGCTTCAAGTCCTTGGGGAGACCGTGGGTCTCTGAAGACATCTGTCCCCGTAGCTGATGGGGGCTTAGGTGGGAGACACTCGCAGGGCTCCAGTTCCTCCTCTCCCGGGAGTCGCGCAGTGCAGAATCTAGAGAAGCAAACTCCAGTACGCCTTTCTGATTCACCCCCGACCCCACCGCACTGTCCATCACAGCAGTGACGTTCACAGGAAGGATGCCTCCTGTCCTTGGCAGCTGACAGGACAGCAGACACCCACAAGAAACAGCGAGAGTCTATAAAGAAAGGGATTCTTCTCAAACTCTTCTTCAGTAGCTTCCCACCGGCTCAGAGGTGCGTGTTCATGGCCTTCCTAGACCAGCGTCACACCATCTCTTACAGCTCTGCCCCCATCGCATTTTTGCCCACCGTCTTCCATCCCTGCGGCCCTCCTTGCTCTCTCCTGACAGCGCTTGGCTTCTCCGGCCCCTGTTCTTGCCCGTTTTCCTACTGGACCATCGGGCCTTGAGGGTGCAGTCTGCATCGCTCTGTGCACTGCCAGCACCTACCAGACTCCCTGGCACAGAGTGCATTCTCAGCGGAGCTAACTCCCGACCCCAAGGGTGCGATAGAGAAGGGCAGCAGCCTCCACATTTGCCAAGTGCCACCTGTAAGCCTTGCCAGTGATGACGATGTGTCCCTATCACTGAAAATCTCGAGAGACAATGTAATCAGCAGTCGGGAAGGTTGTGCTGGCATCTCACCCACGCCCTTCCTCCTCGTGCATGAAGCTCTAAACTCTAGATCTTCATGTCAGCAGTTCTCTCCTTCCTCAAGACAGTGCGTCCCGTGCTGTCACACAGGAGGGACATGAACCTTCACATACTGCATCCACATCTGATGCATTGTTGTGACTTGAGTGACGACCAAGCTGAAGGAAACATGGATTTTGAAAAGACACGTTGCAGAAAATCAGGAATATGTGGTTAAACCTCCCAGGCGATGGGTATGGCAGAGGCCTGGGGCGTCCTGCAGGGGTTCCTGGCTGTGTCTGAATACATCTGGGTGAGACACGTCAAATCTCACATGAGCCATAGACAAAAGGTCCAGGGCATACACTGCCCGTGTCTTTGGGAGGAGGTTGGGCAGACCAGCCCCAGAGGTTCTGGGGAAGATACACTGGCCCTAAAAGACCAGCAGGGAAAGCCTAGCAGGGAGGGGGTAGGGCAATGACGTGGTTCCCCAAGGGGAACAGAGGAACTCAAATCCAACCTCAGCCAGCACCAGTTTCAAGGGTGACCAAACTAAGAGAGGACAGTTAAAGCAACTCGGTGGTATAAAGATTATTATTGGGGAAATACAGCTCTTTCATCAAGGAGGGATGCTAAGAAGGAGACGAGGCATAGAACCCAGGCCCTGGGAGAGTCATTGGTGGAACTGCAGGTGGAAGTGTGGGTTTCCCTACTTGCAAGGTGGGCTCAGTGACACTCCCAGACCAAGAGCGTTAAGTGGTGGGGAAGGTAGAGAGCAGGCAGAAGGTGGTCGCTGCTGTGGAGCACACAGCTCGAGAAAGCGGCTGAGAGGTCGGCGCCCTGCTGTTGCTGGGGCCTCACGTCCTTCCTCCCAGTGTGCAACCCAACAGGAACCAGCAAGTATGGACACCGGGTCTCAGGGGCACAGGCGAGTGGACCAGAAGTGTACACACACACGTGACCCTGACCTCCAGGACCCCGAGGCTCTCCTCCCTTGCAGGCAGGCACCCAACCCTTCTAGGCACCCTACTTCCTAAATGGAAGGGTGCCCACAACATCTAGCCTGTCTGGCTCCTCAGTGGTTCTGGGAATGGTGAGGAGTGGCCAAGACCACCCCAACGAACCTCAGGGAAGGACTGAGATGGGGAGGGAGTGACAGCCAACCTGGACTTTGCCTTTGCTCCATCCACAGACACCCCCGAGACAGAGCGAACCAAGGGTCATTGTGTTCATGGGCTCGTTTGTTGTTTTAAGTTTTAAATCTCCCACCACAGCCATGCCAGGGAAGCGGCGTGTGTGTCTGTCCTTTCTGTGGTTTCCTTAGCAGCTGAACCCCGACTTAGCTCCCTCTGCCCTGCTCAGGTCAAGCTGGGGAAGGCATGGGGGAACGGAGGGCCAGCTCCCATAGATGATGGTCTGTTCTGCCTCCCTCTGTGTGAAGCAGATGGCAGCCGCGGAGAGCTGGCCCAGCCCACCCTCACGATCCAGACTCACCCCTACCGGGCCTGCGACCCCGTGGAGATGAGCTATCCTCGTGACCAGTTCCAGCCCGCCATCCGGGTGGCCGACCTGCTGCAGCACATCACGCAGATGAAGAGAGGCCAGGGCTACGGCTTCAAGGAGGAATATGAGGTAAGGCAGCAGCCAACACAGAAACTTTATGATGGATGCAGAGGGTTTTGTGTGCTGAGGCTTTGCTACTCAAAGTAAAGACCCCAGACCAGAAGCATCAGTGTCACCGGTTGGAAATGCACCACCTCCAGCCCCACCCAGACCTACTGAATCCATTACCCGCATTTTAACCAGAACCGAGATGATCTGTATACTGTTTAAATTTGAGAAGCTCCACCTAAAAGATTCTGAGACTTCCTTTTCCCCCTTCCTGCTTTCCCACGCTTTCTCTTCATTTTATAACTCAGTTATCGCCAAAGTTTCTGCACTTGGGCATCATGGCCGCCCTCAATAGGAAGCTAGAGGGGCTCAAGCCCCCAACCCACATGTTATAGGAAAACCAGCCGATCTCCCTGGCCAGTGCTTCTGGGAGGCTTGCTTGCTCCTGGCCGCCTCTTGCCTCATTACTATGCGTCTGGTGTGTTCTCAGTTCTCCCCCCACCACCACCCAAGTCAACACTGTCTCCCTGGTGACTGCTATCCCCTCCTGTATCTTCTCCTCACCTCTGTATTGGACACCCACAAAGTGCCTATAATATAAAGGATTTGTGAGTAGCAGTTGCTCTTGAGGTTTGGGGGATAAGGAGGGGAGAGACTTGCAGCCAAGTACAGGAAGTGCCTGAATACAAGTGGTCCTCACAGGTCTCTATGCCCACTGCCCCCCCCAAAAGTTCTCTTTAGTGTCCTCAAAACTTCCTTTATTTTTCTTTTTCCGGCAGCCAGGAAAAGGCCTCCCATACTCCCTTTCCTAGGCAGAACAATTTCGCTTCCTTTGTCTCAAACCTTGCCCGCCAGGCATCACCTTTCACAAACAAAAAGGGAAATAAAATTGAAGGGAAAACTCATTAAGATGTTTCCGCGAACTCAAGAGCACCTCGCCTCCCCCGAGGAGCCTTACCCCCCTCGCCTGCTGCTCGGGGTCCAGCTGCAGCCCGCTTTGAAAATGTTCTTTTTCTGCTTTTCCTTTCCTCTCTCCCTCTCCTCCTCCCTTCCTAGAAATATAAATATTTTTGGCACATTTACTGTGTGCCGGGCTCTGAGTTTTATGAACTAGTTTTTTTGCGTGTGTGTGGCTTTTTAGTTTCACATGCAGCCTATGCCCCAAATATGCTCGGTTCAGTTTTGTTGTGTGCAGTGAAGAGGCCTGGACTCAGACCCTGCCCATTTGGGATTCTTGAAAATGCGGACCAGGTTTATCTCTCAGACGGTATTCTCAGAAAGAGCTTACAAGGCAATGATTTCAGAGGCTCCGTGAGGTCACAAAATTGTGCTGCATGGGGGGTCCACACAGCGGGGTTGCAGTACAGCAAACTGCGTGGTCTTGGCATATCATTTTGTTGCCAGAGTTTTAAAATTCTGTTACTCGTTGAGTGAATAGTTTGGATAAGGTGATTTCTAAGGGCCTGTCGGGTCCTAAAACTTTATGAGGATGTAAAACTTGGCGGCATGGGGCACGTTTGACACATTGGTGAGAACAAAAGCGTTTATGTCAATGGATGTGAGTGATGACCTGCTCAGGAGAACCAGCAGTTAATTTCAAATAATGGTCTAGGTAAAATAGCTTTTTCATATGCTCGATCTACAAATTTTTTGGAGGATGCTGGGATAAGAGTTGAAGGAGATGGTCTCATGAGATCCCGTGCGTGGTCCTTATTTCCTAGGGAGTTGGCTGAATGGCTCCAAACCCTTGAAGCGTGGGGGATGGGGTGCACATGCGTGCGTCCACGCCAGCATAGATCTGTTTGTTGAGTGAATGGCAAGAGAGGGTGTGTTGTGTGTACGTATTCAATATCGTGATGGTTTAATATGTCAATCATAACACTTAGTTTGCTTTCAAGTTCCGAATAGCACTAGGGGAAACATGTAACTTATCAACAAGGGTAACAAGTAGTCAAAGCCTAAGAAATACTGTTCTAAGAACTCACGATCTAAAGTTTGAAGACAAAAACACAAATACATTTGACTACTTTGGTGCCTTTCCTTCCAGACTGATATGTCTTTTAAAAGCATCCATCCCTGTGTGGTTGATTTTTTTTAAAAAGTGCCTTTTTGCATTCTCCAAACTTATTTTTTTAATAAACAGCAGAAATACATTTCTCACAGTTCTAGAGGCAGGTAGGTCCAAGGTTAAGGTGTCAGTAGATTCGGTGTCTGGTGAAAGCCCACTTTCTGGTTCACACATGCCATGTGTTGCTTTCATAAGGGCACTAATCCCATTCATAGGGGCTCCACCCTCATGACCTATGCACCTCCCACAGGCCCCACCAACTAATACCATCACATTAGAGATTAACTTTCAACATATGAATTTTGGAGGGACACAATCATATAGAGAAATATTCATACTACAGTACTCTTTCATAACCACAATTCAGTGATAAAGTAAGGTAACTCAACACTGATGCAATGTTTGTTTGTTTTTCCCAAGCTTTCTGGCATGGAACTTCTTTTGTAACAAGAAAAAGAGCAATGCATATCTCATTTCATCATTTGGAAATATCACTAACTAGACTAGCCTTGACCTCAATTAGTTCAATTGATATTAATCAGTGAGCTGGAATTTTTAGCTTCCAGTTAACAGCATTTTCTCGTTAAGTGAGGGTTAATTGGAAAACACTATTCATTGGGAGTCTTTCCACATTGCGCTGCTTCCCTGTCCTAGACTATAACCGATGTCACTCCTGTGGTATCTGGAGTCTCCCTTCTAAGCTTGAAGACTGTCTGTCCTAGGATACCAGATTCCTGGGTCTCCAGCCCTACTTTCAGACCAGCACGCCATGTGCTCTGTTTGTTGCCTGTCACTCCCCGACTCTGTTATTTTTTCTTTTAATACAAATGAGTGGCTTGAACAAGTTGACAGACAATAAGAAGGTGTGTCTTCTAAAATTCAATTCAGTTGTACAATCCCTTGCAAATGTATTCATTAAATTATTACTTAGTATGTACTACTCCCGAGGACTGTTCCGATATTTTAGATATGACAGTGAACAAAACAGACAAGATCTGTGCCCTCATGCAGCTTGTGCTCTATCAGGGGAAACGGGAAATAATAGTCTTTTACAGTCACTTACCTAATAGCTATTTTACAGTCACTTACCTGATGTGGTGTTAGTGAATAATTGCAGTGTGCTAGTGAAAAATACTGTCTGCTGTGCTACAAGCTACCCCAAATCAAACATAAAACAACCAATTTACTGCTCTCGCTGCAACTATGAGTCAGGAATGTGGACAGCACGCGGCAGGAATACTCGGTGTCTGCTCCACGACGTCTGAAGTCTTGACTGGGAAGGCTCTAAGGCTGGGAGTCGAAAGCCTCTGAACATGCCTTCCCTGACACATCCAGTGATCGATGCAAGCTGTCAGCTGGGGTCTCAGCTGGGATTGTCAGCCATGACATTGACACATGGCCCCTTCAAGTGGCCCGGGCTTCCTCACAGCATGGTAGCCTCAGGATAGTTGAGCATATTCTATGGTAGCTCATAACTCCAAAGGTCAGCTTCATCACTAACAAGATGGAAAGTACATCACCCTTTGTGACCTAGGCTTGGATATTACAGCATTACCCCTACCACTTGCGATTGGTTATAAGCAAGTAATAACCACTTGTGTTCTATGGAAGGGAAATTAGACTCTTTCTCTTCTTGGAGGGAGGAGTCATTGCAAGACTCTGAGAGAGAATGCAGGACTGGAGATACTGGAAAATACAATCTTCGGATGATACAATCTTCTGTAGAAGAAAAAAAAGTAGAGCAAGGAAGGGAGATGGTGTGTTCTAGGGCTATGGGGTGAAGGAGGAGGCTCTAATATTAAATAGGGGAGAAGGGTAGTCCTTAATTAGAAGATGACGTTTGAGCAGAGACGTGATGGATATGCTTGTTGGAAGAGAGTTCCAGATCAAGGCCAAGGCTGTCATGAACAAAGAGTGAGACTAATAGAAGAAGCTACTGGAGAAATAAAGGGGAGCTGACCGTTATCAGGCACCATAAGGCATTATAAGGACTTGGGCTTTTACTCTGAATGAAATGGACAGCCACTGCAGAGTTTTGAGAAGGCAACTGATAATTATCTGACAATGGTTCTAAAGACTCATTCTAGCTACTGTGTTGAGAATGGATATAGGGAGGCAAGGGCAAAACAGGGAGACCCGTTGAAAGGCCGGAGCAGAAACCCAGGTGAGATACAACAATAACTCAAGCCAGGATGTGGCAGTGGAGGTAGTGAGAAGCGGTTGGATTCTAAATACATTTTCAACATAGGGCCGATGGGATTTCCTAGCACACTGGATGTGGCAAGTGAGAGGAAGAGAGGAATGAAGGGTGACTCCAAGGTTATTATTACCTGAGCCCCTAGAACAGGGGTGTCAAACTCATTGTCACCAGGGGCCACATCAGCCTCGCAGTTGCCTTCAAAGGGCCAAATGTAATTTTAGGACTGTATAAATGTAACTACTCCTTAGCAGTTAAATGAGAGCTCAGTGCTGCCACCAGGTAGAAACAAGGTGCCAGGCCAGATAAAACAAGGTAGAGGGCTGGATTTGGCCCACAGGCCTTGTGTTTGCCACCTGTGCCCTAGCAGGATGGAGTTGCCACTCCTGGAGATGGGGAAGCTGCAGGTAGAGAAGGCATGTGGGCAATGGAGCAACTGCGAGTTTAATTTTGAACTGAGTTTAAGATATCTACTAGACATCTTCACAGAGACAGAAAGTAGGTAGTCGGGTGTATGAGTCTGGAACTTGGGAAAGAAGCCGGGGCTGGAGAGAAAACGTTGGGAGTTTGGGACATATAGGCTGTAGTAAAGCCACAAGACCATTCAAAGTCAATAAGCAGATGAGCAGAGAAAAGGCAGGGCCCGAGGACTGAACTTTGAGGCGTTTCAGCTTTAAGATGTCCGAGCCCTTTCCATAGAGCAGACATTGTCCTCGGTTCTCGGAACAGAGGAGACGAGGTAGAGCCCTTGCATTC